ATTCTATTCTATTCTATTCTATTCTATTCTATTCTATTCTATTCTATACTATTCTATACTATTCTATTCTTATAATGTCTCCCAGGTGTTTGTTGATGTGTGAATTTGTTAGACCCTCTTACAGCAGGCTCCACTGTGCCGCTGACAGTGTTCTTGTCCTTTGTTTTCATTGGAGATGTTTCTGTTCGCTTCTAGAGTTAACTTATTGATCTCGGTTTGCATTCCTCCAGATAATCAACCCAGTGACCATCTGCTCACTGCTCAAATTTAAAAGCTGTACTTTCCTATTGGAGCAAATTGAGTATTCAAAATGAAACTCAGAAGTTTTCTTCACATTTCATAATAATACTCTAAATTAAACTACTATAGTAGTTTGTGATTGTAATTTAATAAATATATGAAATATCCAGCAGGTTTAAATTCTCTAGCAAGGCATCATGCAAACTGATTTGCATGTGAACCACATGAGGATAAAATCAGGCTTCTCTGATCCTAATGGGTTTGTTTTTTTTGATAGAAAGAGAATCCTAGTGGTTTAATGGCTCTAATATATACTTGAATTTTTTTTAGCTTTGACTGATTGGATCCTGGATATAGTGTTTTGCTCCCAGACTGAGATGTTGCTGTTTCTGACTATGAGCAAATTCCTCCAGGCAGGAATTCATTCACCAGAGGAAATGCTTTAAAGCAGAACTGTCCCAGCAGTAAATCACTCACTGTGTTTTAAAAATATCCCACATGGTCAATGTGTGTCAGGTTTTCTTCAAATCAGTATCTTTCAACCATAAAACATGCTTCTTTATACTTGTCAGATTTTATGGTTTCCAATAAAACAAATCTTTTATTTAAATCTAAGTTAAGATTTACTTGCTTTAACTTTTAGAATATCTTTCATAATTGAACTCCAGATGGGCAGCAGATGAAGGACATGAATGCTTAGGTGTCCATGACCCTGATGCATCAAATACTTCCCATATGAAGCTGAGTCTGATGCAGAGGTGGAGACTGAACTTCCTGCCTTTGTTCTCGATATAAAACAGGTGTTTTCTTCATGAACAC